ACCACTCCAGCACTTTTGGGTACTGGACCTTATTTGAGTGTTTCCTGTTTTGGAATGGCTTTTCCTCATCCTTATTTCAGAGGGTATTATTATGGTTTTTACTTAAATACATATCAATACAATGTGTAGTTTAGAACCAGAGAGCCAATGTCACAAATGATCACAACACACTATTGAGCCTGTTTACACCTGATAAAAACATGAGTCTTGGGTGATCTGATCCCAAGTGGACAGCTTTAAGTACGTCAGTTTACACATGGTACTAGAATGCGTCTCAAGTGACCACTGGTGATTGGATCTCACTTCCTCACTCTGTAGGGCTGTGACAGAGCCCAAGAACATAAATTGCATAACAGTGAACCAAATCCTAACCCAAGACACATTCTATCAGTTGTTAACAGGCTCATTAGCTGGTTCCTCTTTTTGTAGCTGACAGTAGAGAACTACAAATGCGAGGAGACAGACAACAGAAACACAGTGGGAGAAATTTCTTCACCTGACGTTTAGAGGAAAGTAAGATTGATGACAGGAGGTGATGATGGCCACAATGAAGGTTTACCTGCTCATATTGGCTATTGGTGAGTCTGTGAAAAAAAACTGTGGTTTTCTGCATTTGATTAAGCAAAGAACATTCCAGCAGTAGTTTTATTCATGTTGTGCTTTCTTCATCCCTTCAGTATTATTTCTGTCTGTTTTCACCTGAATAAACAACAATTTAACATTGTTTCTCAAACCAGTATCACTTCAGAAAATATTAGGCTCTCCAAGTAACACCATTATGACCGATGTTAGAATACATCAGCGTAGAACGAGTTTGAGTAGTTTGAGAACAAATGATATAACCTATTTCAAAACTGGTCCAGCCAAGCCTCCTTGGGTTATTAACTTTAATTAATCTACAAAGAACATCGAAACAAAATACTATAGAATGATCAAAACATCTTCCCCTCACTGACAACCACAGTTTCATACCTTCATGAGCATGCAGCCCTCACAACCATTTCCTCGAGCCATCAACAAATTTAAATTTCATCATGGTTCCTGTAAAATATGCTTATACAGTTGGGTCCTTTAGCTGGGGGTCAGAACCAACACAAAGGAACTGGAAATTCAAATTGTGAGCCACAAAATGTATCCAAAGTGTTATCAAATGATGTTTCTCAAGTATCATCATCTTCATCCTGTGAAAATATGAACGTTTTTACCTTTCAAATGAACTTACATTGAACGGCTCACAACTTATAGACTCATTGTCAGTGGGTCATAAGCAGACATTGCTTTGTAATAAATTAACTCCAACCACTGCAGTGGAATTTGTGTTTGCAACTTTAACAAACATTAACTGCTCTTTCTGTCCTACCTACCTGTAGGTGCAGCAATCATTTCAACAAGAGCACAGTGTGACGGTGATGGGTATGAAGATCACTGGGTCTCAGGTGAACAGCAAAATGCCATATTTCACACACACGTCGTAAACAACAAATCAAACAGAAGATTTAAATTAGATTCATTTATTATTATTAGAACTTTATTGTCATTGCACAAAGTGCAAATATGAAGTATGATTAGGTGAACAGTACACACATTGGAACATGTCACATAGGAGCCCCATTCAG